TTTGAGAGAGAGCAGTGACATCTAGAGGAAAGTAAAGTTTGTCATTATTCCTTACCAGCCTAATAACCCACAGGCATCAACTTGGAGAGTATTATATAACATCTTTTACCCAACAGCAGTGAAATATATTGCATTCGTAGGTAGTCTTCCTAACTTGGTGGCTCAGTATATTTAGTGGTTGGAAGCCAGTGTTGTGGTGCAACAGGGTAAACTGTTACCTGCAGTGCCAGTATCCCATCTGAGCACTTATTTGAGTCCCGACTGTTCCACTTCCAATCCAGTTTCCTGCTAATGCTTCTAGGAAAGCAGCAGAAGATGGCCCAAGTACTTGGGCTTCTATCACACCGATTGGAGACCTGGATGGAATTCCAGGCTCCAGGCTTCAGGCTGGCCCAGCCCCCTAGCTTTTGTGGGCATATGGGGAGTGAACCAGCAGATGCAATTGCTCTCTCTGTAATTCTGCCTTTCAGATAAACAAAATAGATCTCTTAAAAAAAAAGATATTTAGTATTTGGCTTACTTGCCTTCTCACAGCCATTAGGAGCACATTCTAAGCATAATCTGTATGCTGTCCAACTTTGCTTATTTATACAGCTTTCACTTTGATTTTCTAATAGAATGCTAACACTGTAATATACCATACATCCAAAGAATCTTTTAAAAATGTCTTCCTGTTAGACTTCCTTTTGAACTGTTAGTTCATTTCTCTCTCAGTGACTCACTGTTCTATGTTGAAAGAACTTTGTGTACCAACTTCAACATCTTATGCTGTTGACCTTACAAGGTTTGGCTAGGAGAGGAAAACTCAGGATGAAAACATCAAAGAGGCAGCAATTACAGAAAAATGAGAATGTTAGATGTCACAGAGTATGATGGAGCAAGCCTGAGATTCTTAATGTTATACAGCCTTAAGTCCCATTGGCTAGAGGCTCATAACATTTCTATAAATTGAAGCAGATTGCTATTCTCTTGTAAAGGTCATCTTCTTCATGACTTCAGGATTTTTAATAATTTAGCTCTTTATATTCTGCTGACTATTTTTCTTCCCTATGAAGCAGTTTGTTTTATTTTATACTCTTATTAGCTATTTGGTGTTTTTGTCCAAAGTATTGGCCTGTACAAATTTAAGCTAAATTAGCCAGTAGTTATAACCAGTTATTCACTGGATATGAATGAAAAAGATTGTGACTTATTTTTAAAATAAAGCTCCATATTAAAATCTTAATTTGCATTTATAGAACTTATTTGGTCTTCATTTGAGGATTTAAACCAGAAGTTTTTCAGATGCTTCCAATGCCCCTTTTGCCATCATGGATATAGAAATACAGATTACAAGTATTGCATTTCTGTAAACTCCAACATAATGGAACTCATGGTTTCACTGGAGGAACAGCCAGAAATAGTCTTCTGCATCACTACCATAGCTGCCATTGTCCCTACCCAAGACCTGAAGTGCCTGCACTTGAATTTTTTTTCTTGTTTCAGTGAACTGGCTCTTCTGCATATGCAAGGATCTAGATTTTCCTACCTCAATCCCTGGCAAAATAAAGCTAAAACATGATAATCTCACCTAGAAAAGGGGTGCTCAGAACAGATACAATCCTCAACTGCCAGATTTGTCTGCTGAAATTGTCGATCTTTCCAACAGTATTATTTAGTGAAGGCCAGTGTGTTATTAATAAACTGGATAAAATACAGAGAAAGCAGAAAAAGAAATTTTTATAATAATCTATTTTTTAAAAGATTTATTTATTTATTTATTTATTTATTTGAAAGTCACAGTTACCGAGGGGGAGAGAGACAGAAGGAGAGAGAGAGACCTTCCATCTACTAATTCAGTTCCCAAATTGCTACAACAGCCATGGCTGGGCCAAGATGAAGCCAAGAGCCAGGAGCTTCTTCCAGGACTCCCTTGTGGTGGCAGGAGCTCAAGCATTTGGGCCATCTTTCCCTGCTTTCCCAGGCATATTAACAGGGAGCTGGATTTGAAGTGGAGTAGCCAGGACTTGAACTGGTGCCCATATGGGATGTTGGCATTGCAGACAGTGGCTTAACCCGCTATGCCACAATGCCAGCCTCAGAAAAGAAGTCTTGACAGGCCAGATGCCATCATTGCTGTGGTAGTCTCTGCCAGTACTGTGAAGTTTCCATCCATTGGATTTTCCAGGCTCCTAAGTATTGGTCCATATCTTATATTTGATATTTTTTTTGGATAGCTACACAGAATTATAGCTTTGGTTTTATTTTTTTCCCCTGTTGAAATTATAATGCTGTAACATTTGAAATGTGCTAGAAGATGAAGGGATAAAGGTCATTACTAGTTGTGGCCATCTCTTCTGGGAAGCCTTCTCCAGTTCTGCCAGTGAGAATTAGTCTCTCCCTTCACTGAGTCCTCTTGCAGCTTAACCGTGCTTCTGTTAAGATAACCCCAGTTTTTATTGTAATTGCATGCATGGACCTGTCGCTCCCCCTCTTCATGGAGGAACGACACTAAACCCTGCCTAGGCTTCATATCCGAGTCACGGCACCATTATGTCGCTCCCCGTCTTCGTGGAGGAACGACACAGGACCCTGCGCTGTTCTTTCATCTTCTCGGCCCTCCCCGGGTTTGCTGCTGGTTCTTCCCGGGTTGGCTACTGTCCCTTCCACCTCCGTGGAAGGGCGGTTCCCCCTGCCACATTCCCCACTTCCGCGGGGGAGCGGCACACCGCCGGCCGGCTCTCTCGGGGGCTGCACAGGTGTTTCTTCAGATGTTCCCCTTAGATGTTCCTGGTGCATGTTGTCTCTCTCCTCCTTTATAGTCCTCTTCCACCAATCCCAACTCTGCTACCCACACACCGAGTACGCTGCTCTCCTCCAATCAGGAACAGGTCCTACAGTTTGTTGGTTGAACTGGAGGCAGCTGTGTAGAAGCTGTTTCTCCCTTCTCAGCGCCATATTGTGGGAGAGCAGATGCATAGAATAAGTCTTAATTCCAGTAACTTAGTCTAGTCCGAGTTGCTCCCCACATGGACCTCTCTTTTCCATACTATCAGCCTGTTGGCTACCCTGCACTTGATTCCTTTTTTCCACTGCCCACAGTGCACGTTATCAAAAATAGCTTTGTTGTTAACTGCAGTTATTGTTGTTCTTAGTAGCTGTTCCGGCTGGTTGGTTCACATCCAAAATGGCTTTATTATTAAGGAAGGCTTCTTAGTGACTTTAATAAATCCACTCAAGGCATCTGTATGATAGATACAGATTCCACAATCTTAAGGAAAGTTAAAAGAATATCACTGTTTTATATGGTGTAGAGTGTGATGGCATTTGACCATACCCTGATAGTGTCCTGAAAAGTTTCCTGGATTTCTTTTAAGATTTACTTATTGGGTCTGGTGCCATGGCTCACTTGGTTAATCTTCCGCCTGCGGCGCTGGCATCCCATATGGCCACTGGGTTCTAGTCCCGGTTGCTCCTCTTCCAGTTCAGCTCTCTGCTGTGGCCCGGAAGGGCAGTGGAGGATGGGCCAACTGCTTGCACCACATGGGAGACCAGTAAAAAGCACCTGGCTCCTGGCTTTGGATTGGTGTAACTCCGGTCGTAGCAGCCATTTGGGGAGTGAACCATTGGAAGGAAGACCTTTTCTCTGTCTCTCTCTCACTGTCTAACTCTTTCAAATAAAAAAAAATTAAAAAAAAAGATTTACTTATTTATTTGAAAGTCAGAGTTACAGAAAGAGAGGGAAAGACAGAGAGAATATTCCATCCACTGGTTCAGTTCCCACATTGCTTCAACGGCTGAGGCTGGGCGAGGTTGAAGGCATGAGCTTCTTCCAAGTCTCCCCTGTGGGTAGCAGTTGCCCAAGCACTTGGCCATCTTCCACCACTTTCCTAGGCCATTAACAAGGAGGTAGATTGAAAGTAGAGGAGCTGGAGGCCAGCGCTGTGGCATAGCAGGTAAAGCCGGCACCTGCAGTGCCAGCATCCCAGGTTTGGGTCCAGGCTGCTCTACTTTCGATCCAGCTCTCTTCTATGGCCTGGGATTGCAGTAGAAGATGGCCAAGTCCTTAGGCCCCTGCACCTTCGTGGGAGACCTGGAAGAAGCTCCTGGCTCCTGACTTCGGATCAGCGTAGCTCCAGCCATTGCGGCCAATCGGGGAATGAACCAGTGGATGGCACACCTCTCTCTCTCTCTCTGCCTCTGCCTCTCCTTCTTTCTGTGTGTAACTCTTTCAAATAAATAAATCTTTAAAAAAAAAAAAAAAGAAAGTGGAGGAGCTGGGACACGAACTGGGTCACATATGGGATGCCGACATTGCAGATGGTAGTTTAACCTACCACACCGCAACACTGGCCCCTCCTGGATTTCTTGCTATCTCTCTTTAAATGGAAAGTATGTTTTCTAAATAGCAGGATTTAGTTGTAGTTGTTGATGCAGCTTAGGAAAGAAACTTTCCCTTATAGTAGTCATTCCAGCTTTTATCTTCTTTATGGCCATTGGACCTCTATAATAGTAGAATCCATACAAACTGGCAGTATTCTAGAGTCTGATATAAAGATCTTCAATGAAACAATGGGAATGCTTCCCACAGTGTTGTTTAGTGCCTGTGATTTGGGGAGGTAGGGAAGTTTGCTGAAGGAAAAACCAATTTCTATTCTGATAAGAAACCAATATTGCTCTGTTTCAAAAAAAAGGCCATTTTAAAGGACATGAATAGGATCAAGTTTTAGCTATCAGAATGATTTTTGAAATAGCCAAGTTGCAATCTCGATAAGGTAAATAAGAAATAATTGTGATCATCAAGGTGATGAGCTCATTTCTCTGTGTTTTCCGTCTCTCAGCCTTACTGCCTCCATTAAAATATAGCCATCTTCTGACATCTTCTTCCCTCTTGTCCTCTCATGTGAAAGCTGTTCATATTCCCCTGCCCTGCTGTGTGTGTGTGTGTGTGTATCTCATAGCTCATTACTTTCTGATGTTTTAAATTCACCGTTGACCTGCGTGCCTTGGAGTTAGCAGGGGTGTGTGTGTATGTGTGTGTATGTTTCATTTACCCTTTTGCCATCCAAGTACAGCAACTTTGACTCACCTATCAACAGACCGTTCATTCCTTCACTGCATCCTCTGCCTCAGCCTTCATTTCACTGCAGAAGAGGAAGCTCGCAGCTGGCTCAGTCTTCCATTCTAACCCTGGTTGAGACATCCTCTTAGGTAATTTCACCATCTGCACAGTAGACAGCCTAGTTTCTTCATCTCCCCGTTATCCCATACTACTTTGTACTTTAGGTCTTATCTTCTCAGCCTGCTGTACCTGTTAAGCATTAAATTAAAACATGTCACTCTCTAACCATAATTTCTTATATTCTCAGCTGTCAGTAAATCACTCCCCTTGCAGTTGTTCTTTATTCCCTTGCCATCTTTCTTCCTTTGATGCCCTCATGCTTTTTCTTTCTGTCATCCTCCTGCCTTCACTCTTTTCCCCCATCTTAATTACACTCTGTGTATCCCCCAAAACCTTAGTCCTATAGTCCATGGGTGCCACACACCTGACAGAGGTACATTCTTTTTTTTTTTTTTTTTAAGATTTATTTTACTTGAAAGGCAGAGTTGGGTGGTGGGAAATGGAGAGATTGATCTTCCATCTGCTGGTTCATTCCCCAAATGGCCAAAATGACTGGGGCTGGGCAGGCTGAAGCCAAGATCCAGGAGCTTCATCTGGGACTCCCAAGCACTTGGGCCATCTTCCGCTGCTTTCCTAGGCAGATTAGAAGGGGGCTGATTGGAAGTGGGGCACCCAGGACTCAAACCAATGTCCAAATGGAATGCCAGTGTTGCAGGCAGCAGCTTAACCCACTGCATCACAGCACCAGCCTCAGGGGTTCATTCTTGGGTCTTGTCAGCTGCTTACGTCCTCTATACCTACACTGGCATTGGGCTCTGCTGGACAAAGTCCCCCAACCTTGCAAATCACCACTAAAATAAATTCTTGATTGCTGTTTTATTCTGAATTACCACAAACTGAGTTGCTCCAACCAATATAAATTTATTCTGCGCAGTTGGAAGCTAAAAGTCTGAAATCAAGGTTGTCAGTAGATTACGCTCCCTCTGACAGCTCTGGGGAGGAAGCTCTTCTTCCCTCTTCTAGCTTCTGGTGGTTGCCAGCAATCCTGGCGTCCTGGGCAGTGGCAGCATAGCTCCAGCCTTTTTTTTTTAATCTTCTGCCTGTTTCGTGTCTATTCCTTTAAGGATGCCACTCAGAGTGGATGTAAGGCCTATTTTAATCCAGTATATCATTGTGACTGAACTAATTACATCTGAAAATACTCTATTTCCAAATTAGGTCACATGCTGAGGTTCCTGTGGGCCTGAATTTTGGGGGGCACTATTTAATCCAATAGAGTTACTTATCTCAACAGGACTCTTAGTGCTAGCTGACCGTTTTTCTGTGTTTCCCTAGCCAGCTTTTACATTCTTGGTTGTACCAACTGTAAGCGTCCTTTGCTCATTACCACTCTTCAGGCCTTTCCTACCTTTGCTGTATCTTTAAGCTTTGGCTTACTTGGCATTTAACTTCATTTATATGTCTTCAATCTTTAAAAAGAAAAAAGACAACAACAACAAAAAAAAACACTATACAGTTGCAGGGGTGCTTTATTTAACTCCATTCACTACCTCCCCTGCTCTAGCTCCCCTCTAGCTCTTTAAATCTCCTTTAGACACAGGCTTCTTAGAGAAGTTGTTGGTCCCCAACCCCTCACCTTTATCCTCTCGTCACTTCACAAACCTCTGTGATCAGGTGCCCACCCCCTGGATTTCACAGACTCTGAAGTCTCCTGGATCCCAGCCCTTGCCTTTTGTCCCGTCCCTAGCACTTGACCGTGATGCACACTCCCTGCCTCTGGACGCCTTCTCTGCCTTGCAAGCAGCAGAGGATGAATGGGTGAAGAGGATGGAAGTGGGTGACTTCTGACATCTCTGAGTGTTTCTGATTTTCTGAGACTTCAGGAATCTTTGGTTCTCTGTTTATAAAACTTCTGGGAAATTTGTAGTTATTTAAATGTGGCAGAACTATTACCATGTTGAAAATACAGAATGTAACAATATTTCTCATGCAGTTACTATAATTTGAAAGTTTATTTTTAGTAACTATTTGTAATTGTAAAACTTCTCAGAAATAGAATAACACTCTAGAGCAACTTTAAGTAGAAATTACCTGCACTGAATTTAAAACCTTAGGAGCTAAAGATGCCGACTTGGATGTATTAAGTTCATCTTTTGAAGTTGTGAAGTCAAGAAATCCTCTTGTAATATAGGTTTCAAAAAGAGTAGTAGGATGGCAGAGTAATAATTATCAGAGAAAACAGAAAGTAAATTGTGTGAAAGAGTTACGCAAAACTTGGATATTTAATAATGTCATCCCTTTTGTAACATTATCTAGGGTATGAAGAACTCAGTTGTTTATAGTAAACTTCTTAAAAACAGCTCTCTTTACTCAAATAGTTGAACTCTGTTAGAAGTGGGACAATTTGATTTTTATACAAGATTAATAATTAAAAGATAATCAGTCTTCAAATTGTTGTAGGTGTCTATTCACTTAGCCCCAGATTTCCTAGCCTAAAGACACAGAAAGCATCATATTGATACCAAATTACCCTGTGTCGGTGCCTCCTGTGGCCTGGCTGCCAAATTTCAGCATCTGTCTCCAAATGCCCACCAGCACTTTCCAGGTGTTTCTATCTCAGGAACTCTGGCCTTCTGCTTGAAGACTGATTTGTAATCCACCTTGACCATATCAGTTCACTCCCATGAAAGCCATGGGATATAAACCTGACTGTCTGGTCCTGTGTCTGTCCTGAAGGAAGCCTCACCTGCCAGGCACTCCTTCAGCTTTCAGTTAGACTCCTCTTTAGGACTCAGACCTGGTCCCTCAGGACAAACACCCTGCTCTCATCTGTGATTTTACCACTTTCTGCTCTTGTGGTTTGGCCCTCAGACACAGCCTCCTACAATGTCATTCATGCACATACATATGGGGTGAGGAGAGGGAAGTGGATGAAAATGCATCTTGCACCTGGTAAGAGCTGCCAAGAACCAAAATCCCAGTTTTCTGAGGCCACATTCTCTTCCCATACTATTTAATCTCCCAATCTCTCTCTACCTCTTTTGGATCCAAAGTAGCAAATTAATAAAAGGCTCAGTGAAATTCAGCAAATGAATCTTCAAAAGTATTTTGTTAAAATTTTTTTTCCATTATGAATTGCTACAACCTTAATAGCTGGACAAGAAGTTGGTAAACAGTACATTTTGTAAGACTTCAAGTGATTTATTTGACAGACTGATCCTTTAGCAAATTGGCATGCTTTCCAGTTTTTCCAGAAACTAAATGTCTATGAAGATCACTTTGGACTTCCTACTGCCATATATCTTGTGACAGCTTCAGAAATACTTTTTAAATATGATATAATATCTTCCAATTGAAATATTGTTACAAATTTAGTTTTATTGAGAATAAAATGTTATCATCTCTTGGGAATTTGTTGTAAGCAGAGCAGTCACAGTGGTTCATCTAGAATGTAGGGGTGCTGTTGAAAATCTGAGATGGGCTACGTTTAACAAAGTTTATTTGAGTAAGAAAAAGGTTCTAAAACGAGACAGCATTCTGGATGAAAGTTGGTTCTGGATGCCCTGGTTGACCACAGTGAGCAGGTTATACTTAGAGCCACAGAAAAGTGAGTGACGTACAGAAACTACCTGGCTGACTGCAGTCAGCATTTGCCTTATTTGGGTATGATGTGATGAGGCATTTGTCTTTATGGATGTGGTCTGATCAGGAGGCAGCTTGTGACTGGCTGAGACTCAGCTATTTGTTTTAAGAATATATTCTTGAGCTTGTAGTTTGTTTACAAACTAACTGAGTTTGCAGGTTGCCATATACTGAGACACTTTTGGGCTAAATTCATCATCCAACCATAGAAATAGTCTTGGGCCCAACTTAGCAGTTCAGCAGTACTCCACCCCATAGCCGGACACTGATATTTTCATTAACTTTGAGTTGGATGGATTGAGGAAAGGTTTATCCTGAGCCAGGAAAGTTACTGAGGGTGCCGTGTCACGACAGAAGTAGAGAACAGGGACAGTGTCTTGCCATCACCTAGAATTCTAGAGGAACCCTTGCTCACTAGAGACCTAAATCACACATCAGCTAAATAAAAATACACCTTTCTCCTATTTCTCTGATTCCCACATTATAAGAGTATCAATGGGATGCCTGCTTTTTAACTGTTGGACTTATTGGGATGAATCAAATTTAAATAGTACATTGAGTGTCTTCTTTAAGAACAAATAAAACAGAAAGCAAATGTGTATGCACACAGATTATTTTATATTTAAAATTGTCTATTTTGCCGGCGCCGCGGCTCACTTGGCTAATCCTCCGCCTGCGGTGCTGGCACCCCAGGTTCTAGTCCCGGTTGGCGCACTGGATTCTGTCCCAGTTGCTCCTCTTCCAGGCCAGCTCTCTGCTGTGGTCCGGGAGTGCAGTGGAGGATGGCCCAGGTGCTTGGGCCCTGCACCCGCGTGGGAGACCAGGAGGAAGCACCTGGCTCCTGGCTTCGGATCGACGCAGCACTGGCCGAGGCAGCCATTTGGGGGTGAACCAATGTAAGGAAGTCCTTTCTCTCTGTCTCTCTCTCTCACTAACTCTGCCTGCCAAAAAATAAAATTAAATTGTCTGTTTTATCTTTGTTCTTCAAAGCTCATTATAAAATATCCAACTCTGAGGGATAAAACTTCGCCCAGGATTCCGGGCTCTCTTTAGGTCTGCCGTTGCTCTTGCAGACTTTGCTGTCCTGTGTGTTGTCTTTGACAGATATTTAATTACAAACCAGATACTTCCATGCCATTCCCATTCATCCAATGTGTATTTGCTTTTTAATTGAAGATTTTATTTATTTTTAAATAAACATTAAAGTCTGAAATTTTTTTCTTTGGTAGAAAAACAAGCATGATTTTTTTAAATGATTCGTTTCCTTCTCATGATTGAATTAAAAAAAACCTAAGATAATTTTATGTATTTCTTTTTTTAACCAATTTTATAATGATCCTTTGTAATAAAACCTGGCATCCTAAAAGTGATTCCCACTAAGATTTCTCCCTTTTATATGGTGTTTAAAATTTTTATTTTATGAAATTATGTTGTTTTGAAAGAGATGTGATGGTTCTGATTCCTTGAGAGCAAGAGGAGTTCAAGGACAGCTACCTTTAGCATGGCCTTTCTGGGGCATTGGAAGTAATTTACAAAGTCATTTTCAT